GATTTTTATAGGCATTTTAACAGGTCAATTTAAGGAGTCTGTCTGTCTGTCTTTCTTTCTTTCTTTCTTTCTTTCTTTCTTTCTTTCTTTCTTCTTTTCTTCTTTTTTTCCTCCTTTCTTTCTTTCTCTTTACTTTCTTTCTTTCTTCCTTTTTTTATTTATTCATTCATACAACTCCTCCAGACCACAGCCTCCCCTGGTCCCCTCCTCCCAGTTCACCCTACTTGAGGAGTAGTCCTTCCTTCACAACACTGTCTTCAACCTGCAGCCATGAGATGCCTTCCCCTGGGTTTTGGTTGCCGCTGACTTGTTTCCTAGTTTTTGGTATACATGTGTTGTTCTTCTCAAATCCTCCCTGAATGTACATGACTTTGACACTGAAATGAATTTGTGGTTAGAATCTATTATGAATTGAATTTTAAAATGTAATTTATTTATTTAATTTATGTAATTAATTAATTTCATTTTAAAATGCACATTGGATGCATGTGGAAGTGCAATTGATTCTGTGAATTCACCTTATATCTTATCTCAGGCCTTCCCATGTTTGTTTTTCGCTCTCGGTAGCATGTAACATGAGAGAATGTGTAACTCTCTGTGACTTAGAAAACTTGCTCTTCTCTCTGCAGGAATGGTGGCTCTCGGGTACATCAATGAAGCCATCGACGAAGGGAACCCTCTGAAGACATTAGATACCTTGCTGCTACCCACCGCTAACATCAGAGATGTGGACCCAGATTGTGCCCAGCACTACCAGGATGTTTTGTTCCATACGAAATCCCAGAAACTCCTGGTATGTTCTAGAATGTAGAAGTTTGCGAGATGGAAGACTTTTGATCCGTCTGTCATAAATCTTATGAGCTTTTTATCCCAGTGAATGAGGATGGAGACAAGGCTGTTTTCCTGGTGCCGAGCATTAGAGAAAAGTCCAGACCCAGAGTGATTGCTTCTACTCCTCCACTGAATATGCAGTTGTAGGTGAAGTCTTTCCAGAGAGCAGTTCCTTGGGCATTTCCTATGTATCCATGCCATGCGCAGCATCTGGTGGGGCAGGGACTGCAGAGGACACATGATGCTATTTGAAAGTTTTCTGTCCCTACAGTCTAGATGGTCAGGAACTTGCTGGTGCATCACTGTTTCATAGGGAGTGGTAGGAGAGCAGGAGAGAATCAGGGTTGAGATATTGTGCTCAGAACCTTGAGAAGTTGCCATGGAGATAGAACAGTAACTGCGCCTAAAGGAGAATGAAGAGGTGATTGGGCAGGTGGGTGAGGAAGTTGGCATGGTATGGGCAGTGCCGATGGATCATATCCTTACACTCAGTTCTGAGCATGGGAGGTCACTCGCCTGGAGTCCTCTTGAAGAGCAATGATGTTATTCACATCTGAATTTACACTGAGGGGGTCTCAGGAAGACTTAAGGCTCTTGGAAAGATACTGGGCTGAATGTTGAGACTTATAGGACCTGTTGCCCAAGAATGGAAGTGATGCTGCCAGGTACAGTAGCCATTTCTGTCATCCATATTCTTAGATGCAAACCCAGCTGGTAGGGCTGGATAGCTCCCCCATATACACCTTCAGAGCCCAGGATCTGCCTCCTCTGGGGCAGGAAAAGCACTCTGCTTAGAGCACATGTGGACCGAGCATCTCCTGTTTGCAGGCATGACAGTGGTAGTTAAGCATCTCTTGTTTAATTCTCGTAATAGCCCTGAATCATTTCACCATCATCACGAGTTCTGAGATAATGAACTAGGAGTTAAATAACTGTGTCCATGGCAGACGGCAAAATAACAGCATTGAGAGAGAAAGTTGCTTGCTTTGGAGACAGGCAGGCACCATTTAGATCCTGGCTAACTGACGTTAGACAGACCGCCGTGTCTCCATGTGCTCATTTTCACATGCATAAAATTAGAATCATACCTGCCCTCAAGTATTATAATGAGAGTTCAACAAGAATACGAGATGTGTGCATGTGTTCTTATATGGCAGTAAATTAATGATATTGTAAATGCATACATTTGTTTTTATTTTTTAAAATTTCTTTTGTTTTTAATTATGTGCATCCACATGTCGATATGAGTCCATGAGTTCAGAGAATGTGCTGGGAGACCAGAGGTGTTGGATTCCTCTGGAAGCAGAGTTGCAGGTAGTTGTGAACTGCCTGATGAGGGTGCTAGAAACCCAACTCTGGCCTTCTGGAAGAGCAGCCAGGGCTTGTAACTGCTGAGCCATCTCTCCAGCCCTGGGTGTATGGTTTTTGTGTGTATGTGTGTAGCTATAGCATTTACTATAGAGTCCAGCACGAAACAAGCCGCAGCCTGTTTGAGTATTATTAAAGATGCCTGTGGTTGATTCCCTGCCCTCTTTGAAAGGTAATTGCCGTGACTGTTCACCTGACTGGGAAACACATACAATGGATATTAAGACAGGTGGGGAAAGATACTCCTTACAGCAAGAAGGAAATACCAAAAAATGACCTTAATAGATTAGTTTTCCATGGCACTGCTGGGGATCGAACCTACAAGGCATGTGCCCTTCTTCCACTAAGCTGTGTCCCCAGCGACAATCCATAATTTTTCTCTCATCCTGGTTTTTTTTTTTTTTTACCAAAAGAGGGAGAGAGGAGGAGAGGGAGAGAGAAAAGGAAGGAAGGAAGGAAGGAAGGAAGGAAGGAAGGAAGGAAGGAAG